TGTTTATTCTGTTGCGTCCAAAAATATTGAATCGTTTCAATATATGAATAACAAATCCACACGATATAATGAAACTAAAAATGAGTACATAGTAATCTTTTGGAAAAAAACTGCAAAATCTTTCAAATCCATCCGAACCAACGAATATCGGAAACAAATATCAAAGATACGAAACAAATCCCTAAAACGATTCAATTCAACATAACGAATATGATTAAACGCAATTCTTCAATGAATGAATGCATCCAAAATGAAAATTTCCTGCAAGCACATGTCTATTGTTCATACAAAAGATGACAATTTAATGCTTATGGGAACAGGTAGACATCCGATGATCAGGTACTCTCTTGGGAGGAGCATAGTCTGGACATGTTAGAGATTCCTAATCACATCTTCCAGTTCTAGGTGACACTGGCAGTGCCTATCTCCTCTCATTCCCTTATTCTTAAAGTATACTCGCTTTTGCTCCAGTGATGTGGCGTCCTGGAGCCCCCTACCGGCCACTGACATCTTCTACCAGCCGACTTCTGGGTACTGATCGCTGGCCTCTTTCATTGGCCAGACCGATATGTTGTCACTCCCACGCAAATACGGGAGTGAAGTCAGATTCGCCATTGCCAAAAGTTGTGCAGTAAGCTGCATGTGTAAGCTGCTCATTGTACGTGGCAAACAGGCAGGCGGGCCATTTTATTGCAAAAGAGCCAAAGCATGTCTATTCTGCATTAAAAATTTTGCCTGTTTGCCCATTTTTATTTTTTTATAAAGTTCCACCTTTTTTCTTTAACAGTTGTGTTTATTGAAGATGTACAGTGGTACACACAAACAGAGGTACATAAAACCTAATCAAGTGGGCAATATACAACAAAGTATACAGCATACACAAAGCATCCTGGTAAAATTCTGCGTTTTACCCAAGACCCGAGCAAGCTAGTCAAACAGGAGCTTAGTGTGACCCAAAGACCGGTGTTTAGTCGGGGAGGGTGGGGAAGAAGAGGAGGACGAGTGGAATAAGGCAGGGGGAGGAGGAGGAAGGGGAAGGAAGAGGCGTGAGAGGAGATTAGGCAGTACAGATAGCAACACAGTGTTCAGGTGCTACAAAAATCTTCAGATATATAACGGGAGACCCCACAACCTATACTGTGAGACCCAATGCCTCCACCCACCCAGCCCAGATTATCAAATTTTGCTGGACAGTTGCAGTTTACGTATGTAAGCCTATAGAGAGGAAGAGCACCATTAATTGCTGCCTTCCAACCTTCCAACTGGGTGGGGTCGGCAACTTCCATCGCAACTAAATTTCTCTTCTAGCATAATAAGTAGAGAAGACAAACAGCTTACTATACTTAGGTGCCTCCACAAGATCAGTAAGTCTCAATAGCAGTATCAGCAGGTCCATAGGAACAGACAGGTTACTAACTGCATTGATAGTATCCAATACTCCAGTCCAAAAAGGACGCAGCCTCAAACATGACCAAAACATACGGTTAAACATGCCCTCAGCAATATCACAGCAGGGGGAAAGTTCCACTTTCAACATTAATGCTCAGCAGAGCAATTGTGTTTTTAATAGTGCCATGTACCTGAAGGAGGATGGATTGTACCTGCATAGATAACCATCATCAGAAACGTAAAAACCTATGGGGCCCAAAAAGAATGAATTATTTATAGAAATGAAAAGCTTGTCTGCCCCCTATTGAGCCATGTCATTTCTGCATGCAAATGAATGGAGATCTCTCTGTAAAAGGTGCACAATAGGGGGTGGGGGTAAGATAGTTCACATAGAAACCTCTGCTGGGCAGATGATGGCTTCTTCAGACCAGTTTACAAATGCATGATCACAGTTTCAATAAATGAAATGAAGAATGTACCTATGCACTTCAAACACTAGATTGTAAAGGCTGTATATGTTAAATGTGCCATATAGCTGAAAGCCAAAGAAAACACGCAAACAAACTATATAGTAATGGAGTTTATATTAATATGTAAAAACCCTTAACAGCTCTAATGAATGCTTGAATTTACCTGTCAATGCATCTTCCATAGGCTTTTGTGTAGGGAACAAAAAGACTAGCCTCTCATTCAAGGTGTTGTTTTTTCTTCCCTCTCCATTGATGTCTGTCTCTCCAGAGACACAACACAGGCTTGGTAATCCAGGTAACGGCGGGGAGGTGTAGGTTCAATTATTCCACAATGCATAGCCTATATAATCTGCACAGCTATGTGAACTTTTGTTTTTTTTGCTTTGGCAAGGAAGGAAAAGGGTGTTTAAATTACAAGTATGCAGGGTAGGGAGTGCATATTATTTCAGCATATCCTCGAGACGTTAGTTGTTGGTGTAAGATCAGGCAATAAGTTGAAAATGTTTGCCCTGTTTTCTGGAGATGGTGCACATGTAATCTGATGACCCCATATTTTTCATTAGCGGGGTGCCTAATATGTTTATCGCTAGTCATTATTTTGTGATGAGCTCAGGTGTGATCGGATCCTAGTCGGAACCAACTTGAACAAGCCCTCCAGGAGTCTTTCACTGTACTGGGCCAATCATAAATGAGGAATTCCCTGCCCAATAGCCTCATGTACACAAGCCCATTGTGCACATGCAGCTGTGGGGTGGAGAATGCCCTGGCAGCAGATGATTGGCCAGTACAGAGACAGCTCCCTGGCGGGCTTGTCCAGATTGGCCCAGACTAGGATCCAAACACATCTAAGATCATGGTCTAGCTGGAAAAACTGCCTACAACTATTACATGGACCTGACATGCCTCCCAACTTTAGGATTTAAGAAAGAGGTACATGCTAGGGAGACTGGGGCCTCCAATATGCCAGGGTAAAAAGTGGCCATTTGAAGTCTCACAGAATTTTGGGCATGGTTTAAAGTGATACTAAATGATATCTTTATTCTCGAAAAATAATCCATACACATCTAGTACTAGCAATGCACATTAGTTGTGGTCATGCGCACATTACAAAACCAAGTCCCGAGTCCAAGTGTGCTCAACCTTTTGGAGAGCGAGGCCCACTTAAGTGATTTGGTAACCGGTAACGGGCCACAATGAAATGGTTCAGAATTTCAAATTATTTTATTTTGAATAGCATAATGAATTTTCCTCCTGCAGCCGCTGGAGAGGAGAAGACGGCTTTCACCGGCTGCAAGAAGAAAATGTAGAGCCCTATTGCGACCCCTGAAACTGCACCAGTGGTTTGGGGGGGGGGTGGAGCGGGTGCTAAAAACATGTCTGAACTATGGGGTTTTTTCCAACCCTTAAACCACAAATGTAATTTAAATGTACTATGCCCCTATGAGGCTGCTTTCACATGAATGTGCCGCAGTTTACCCACACCATGGGTGATCCTGCGGCTTTCCTGCAGGTTATCTGTGCTTTGCCATAGACCTCCATTATATCTTGCAGGTGAGGTGCCCTTTTTGAAAGTGCACCTAAACTCCTGCTTCAGGTGTTTTTGTGTGCTTTCAGAAAGTGCACCAAACCAGCAGGATATATTAGAAGTCTATGGCTCAGGGCAACTAACACGCAGAAAGCCGCAGCTGTGCTGCACCTGCAGATTAGTGTGAACGTAGTCTGACAGTTGTTAACCCTTTTATAGATACTATTATGTACATTGAAAAAGCTCAGTGTATGTGCAGTGCAGGCTGCTAGAAAAGTCCCAGGTCCCAGGGACGGAGTTGGAGGGGTACAGAGGAAGCATAGCCTTGTGCAGCTTCTGTTCTCTCCGTCACCGGCTCAATGCACTTTGATGCTCTTGCAGGCAATCAACAGGTTGCCAACCCTGGGCATGCACTGCCCTGGTTTGAGGTTGAGGGACACATCAGAGGGCTCTGATTGGCCCGCAGGCCACAGATTGAGCACCCCTGCCCTAGTCCATATTGGAAGCAAGCAAGAGAGGGTGGCTACGTTCCTACATACAGTGGGACCATGGAGAACACATGTAGCCACCCTCTAACAGACAAGAAATCAGATCACAAAAAATGAATTTGGAGATTTGGAGGAGGTTGAGAGCAATAAAAAGGTACATTTGTGAGTTAGGAACACATACTTAAATGGAACTTTTTTAAAACTACAATGAAGTGTTAATGTAATAGTGTCTGAGCCTGCCCAATATAGCCCACACATGTATGCTGCAATCCTTGTCTTACAGACATACTGTACATTCCATCAGCACAAAGAAACATTTTTTACAATTTGAAATGCTTTCATCACACATGCCGTTCTCTGCAGAATGAAGGCTGACAGCTAACACTAATCCGATTCTACGTTAACCCCTTCCTGTCCAGCCCAGGTGTCCCTTTACCAGGGTCTCTACGCCGAGTACAAGAAGGATTGGCCAATCACATGACTACAGTGCATGACTGTCACAGTAGTTACGTGATCTGGAGTTGGTTCTGATCATTAGAAGAGATTGAGAGCTGTCTTTGACAGCTCACTCTGCTGGGAGTGTGTAGTTGGGGACTTGAGGACTACATAGCAACCTGCAACTGTAGAGATAATAAACACTGTGGTCAGGAGTATGTAATGTACAGCACCAAATATGGAGTACAGCAGTCAGGAATATACCCTATAACAGTGATGGCGAACCCGTGGCACGCGTGCCACAGCCGGCACGCCGAGCCTTATCTGTGGGCACGCCAGGAGAATCCAGCGGCGCGCTGTCTTCCCGGCTGTAGTGTGCGTGACAGCACGGGTCCCAAGTGCGCATGCACAAGAAGCAGTGCTCTTTGTGAATGGTAAGGTGGTACCTGGGACACATTTCAGATCCCAGAAGCCGCCGGACCAATCACAAAGCGCAGCGCTTCTCGCGCATGCGCACTGGGCATCCGGCTGTCCGACGAGCGCCCACACTACAGAAGCCGGGAAGACAGCGCGCGGCTGGATAAAGGAACAGGTAAGATAAAAAAAAAAACTCTGCGGAAGTAAGAGCGGGTACCTGTCAAATTCAGGTACCCGCTCCCCCTCCCTCCCCAAAGGTCAGCAGTCATCTCTGTACTGTCCGCAGTCTCTGGTCATCCCTGTGCTGTCCGCAGTCTCTGGTCATCCCTGTGCTGTCCGCAGTCTCTGGTCATCCCTGTGCTGTGTCCGCAGTCTCTGGTCATCCCTGTGCTGTGTCCGCAGTCTCTGGTCATCCCTGTACTGTCCGCAGTCTCTGGTCATCCCTGTGCTGTCCGCAGTCTCTGGTCATCCCTGTGCTGTGTCCGCAGTCTCTGGTCATCCCTGTACTGTGTCCGCAGTCTCTGGTCATCCCTGTACTGTGTCCGCAATCTCTGGTCATCTCCTGTACTGTGTCCGCAGTCTCTGGTCATCCCTGTACTGTGTCCGCAGTCTCTGGTCATCTCCTGTACTATGTCCGCAGTCTCTGGTCATCTCCTGTACTATGTCTGCAGTCTCTGGTCATCCCTGTACTGTGTCCGCAGTCTCTGGTCATCCCTGTACTGTCCGCAGTCTCTGGTCATCCCTGTACTGTCCGCAGTCACTGGTCATCCCTGTACTGTGTCCGCAGTCTCTGGTCATCCCTGTACTGTCCGCAGTCTCTGGTCATCTCCTGTACTTTCCGCAGTCTCTGGTCATCCCTGTACTGTCCGCAGTCACTGGTCATCCCTGTACTGTGTCCGCAGTCTCTGGTCATCTCCTGTACTGTGTCCGCAGTCTCTGGTCATCCCTGTACTGTCCGCAGTCTCTGGTCATCCCTGTACTGTGTCCGCAGTCTCTGGTCATCTCCTGTACTGTGTCCGCAGTCTCTGGTCATCCCTGTACTGTCCGCAGTCTCTGGTCATCCCTGTACTGTCCGCAGTCTCTGGTCATCTCCTGTACTGTCCGCAGTCTCTGGTCATCTCCTGTACTGTTCGCAGTCTCTGGTCATCTCCTGTACTGTCCGTAGTCTCTGGTCATCCCTGTACTGTGTCTGCAGTCTCTGGTCATCCCTGTACTGTCCGCAGTCTCTGGTCATCCCTGTACTGTGTCCGCAGTCTCTGGTCATCCCTGTACTGTGTCCGCAGTCTCTGGTCATCTCCTGTACTGTGTCCGCAGTCTCTGGTCATCCCTGTACTGTCCGCAGTCTCTGGTCATCTCCTGTACTGTGTCCGCAGTCTCTGGTCATCCCTGTACTGTGTCCGCAGTCTCTGGTCATCCCTGTACTGTCCGCAGTCTCTGGTCATCCCTGTACTGTGTCTGCAGTCTCTGGTCATCCCTGTACTGTGTCTGCAGTCTCTGGTCATCCCTGTACTGTGTCAGCAGTCTCTGGTCATCCCTGTACTGTGTCCGCAGTCTCTGGTCATCCCTGTACTGTGTCTGCAGTCTCTGGTCATCCCTGTACTGTGTCTGCAGTCTCTGGTCATCTCCTGTACTGTGTCCGCAGTCTCTGGTCATCCCTGTACTGTGTCCGCAGTCTCTGGTCATCCCTGTACTGTGTCTGCAGTCTCTGGTCATCCCTGTACTGTGTCCGCAGTCTCTGGTCATCCCTGTACTGTGTCCGCAGTCTCTGGTCATCCCTGTACTGTCCGCAGTCTCTGGTCATCCCTGTACTGTCCGCAGTCTCTGGTCATCTCCTGTACTGTGTCCGCAGTCTCTGGTCATCCCTGTACTGTGTCCGCAGTCTCTGGTCATCCCTGTACTGTGTCCGCAGTCTCTGGTCATCCCTGTACTGTGTCCGCAGTCTCTGGTCATCCCTGTACTGTGTCCGCAGTCTCTGGTCATCCCTGTACTGTGTCCGCAGTCTCTGGTCATCCCTGTACTGTGTCCGCAGTGTCTGGTCATCCCTGTACTGTCCGCAGTCTCTGGTCATCCCTGTACTGTCCGCAGTCTCTGGTCATCCCTGTACTGTGTCCGCAGTCTCTGGTCATCCCTGTACTGTGTCCGCAGTCTCTGGTCATCCCTGTACTGTTAATTAGTTTGCACTACTGTACGAGTTGTTTTTTCTAAACCAAAAGCTCGATATTCAGGTTTCATTGCAGTGTTGGCACTTTGAAAGAAATAAGTTGGTTTTGGGTTGCAGTTTGGGCACTCGGGCTCAAAAAGGTTCGCCATCACTGGCCTATAACATAAATCACAGTGTATACAGTGCAGTAGTCAGGAGTATGTAATGTACAACATAGGTTATAGAATGTAGAGATCAGGAGAACACACAGCACAAGACCAAAAGTGCAAAGGTTAGGAATATGTAACTGTAGTGCTGGTCAGTAGGAGGCAAATATGTCCTGTGGAAAAAACACAAAGACCCCGCTGTTGAGTGGAAGGAAAAAAATGACTGTGGTCAGTGGGTTAAACATTTCCCATCATAAACATCAGTAAACGAAAGAACTCCCCCCTCCCAGCATCTGCATCAGTGGGAGGAAGAATCCCCACTTCCAAGGCATTGGTGGATTAACCTTCTCCCCTCCTTCCCCGATATTGTCAGTCAGTGAGGGTCCATTCACACCAGGCTGATGCATTAATACATGCTATGTGGGTGTGTGCACTGATGTGCCATTTATTGTGAATAGCACGCCAACGTACCCGCACTGCAAACCAGCGCAACAAGCAGTAACACACTAAATTGGTTTATGTTTGCGCAGCAGCATGGCAACTGTATACAGTATGAGAGGCTAAGATGGCTTCTTTCTTAGCTGTAAAGGAGAGTAGGGTTTAGTTCCTCTTCAATACAATGCATGTTAACATACATTAAATGTACCCTAGTGGACCACCTCGGTTTGAATGAGCCCTAAAGGCCCCCATCATTCTTTACTAGCATTCGTGATCAGTGGAAGTCACACAAAATTTTAAAGCACTGGTGGTCCGTGGATTTATCTCCACCCATTTTAAAAATATTGATGATCAATGGATTTAATCCCCCCCTTTAAAAACATTAGTGGTAGTTCCTCTTCCCCCCCCCCTCGAAAGCATTTGTTGTCAATGATGTTTATCCCCTCTAAGGGTAATGGTAGTCAGTTGAGTGTCCCCCTCTCCTCCCCCAAAGGCATTGGTGGTCAGTAGTGGTTTTCCTCCCTCCCCCTCCTAAGGCTATTGCCTACCCCCTTCTTTTTCCATTTATAAAATGAAGCTGATGAATGACATCGTCTATTCTAATAAGACACAATGACACAGCATCAGGGGTGGACTGACAACTCATGGGGCCCCCGGGCAATAGGGGATCATGGGCCCCTGTGGCCTTGACCAAACTCAAAAAAGCCTATGAAAAAGGTACCAGGGGCATCTCATGGGGCCCCCTACTGACCCCGGGCCCTCGGGCAGCGCCTGAGTTTCCAAATGGTCAGTCTGCCCCTGCACAGCATACATTAGCAGCCTGCATGTAATCATGGCTGCCTGTCCTAGCCCACCTCCCTTTCTTCCCTATCCTGACACACTACCCCCTCCATAGGCAGTCCCTACCTGGACTGTACTGCACTACAATAATGAATGACACTAAACTTCTCCCATGTGCTGCCATCATGTGGGTTGAGTTAGGGAGGGCAACGCCCACAGCAGTTGGACTGCTCGTTTACTAACACCGGATGCTGGAATATACATTCCGGGACATGTGGTGGGTACATGGGACTCCAGGATTAAAGTGGTTGTATACCATTACATATACCCAGTGAAATGACTGGCCTCAGGTGATACACAGAGATTAAACAAATCCTCCTACATAAGTTGTACCTGTTTATTTTCAGCAATCCTTTTCATCTATTCAAAGTCAAGAATTTATACAGCTTGTCTGAGCTTCCAGAAGACAGGAGGTGGTGAGATGAAATTACACACTGCAGAGGTCAGTGAGGAGAGCCAAGAGATGATTGGAGGGAAAGGACACCCCCACCCCCTTCACAGAGCTCACAGGAACAGAGCTGAGGCTGTCAATCACAGGCTGTCTGCTGTAGGTCCCTCCCCTGTCACCTTTTTTCTCTTGGTGTCAGGAAAACTTGTCAGATGTGACTCATGCTGATAGCAGAGGAATGAAGCAGCAGACAGAGATGACACTTAGAGGCTGATTTACTAAAGGCAAACCGACAGTGTACTTTGTAAAGTGCAGTTGCTCCAGAGCTTAGTAAATAAGATAAAGCTTCACTTTGCAAAGAATATCCAATCACATGCAATGAAAATAAAAAAAACTGCATTTTTGCTTGCACACAATTGGATGATGGAAGTCAGCAGAGCTTCTGCTCATTTACTAAGCTCTGGAGCAACTGTATTTGCAAAGTGCAGAATCTATTTGGTTTTAGTAAATCAGCCCCTTAGTGCACAAGTACACACTATAGAGGGATATGCTTTGTTCACATTTCATGTCTGAGGGTTACAACCACTAGTGCTAACTAGTGGTTAGCACTTCTGGGCGGCACAGTGGCTTAGTGGTTAGCACTTCTGCCTGGCAGTACTAGGGTCATTGGTTAAAATCCCAGCCACGGCAACACCTGCCTGGAGTTTTCATGTTTCTGCCTGTGTGGGTTTCCTCCGGGTACTCCAGTTTCCTCCCACACTCCAAAGACATGCAGGTAGGTTAACTGGATCCTGTCTAAATTGTCCCTAGTATATGAATGTGAGTTAGGGACCTTAGATTGTACACCCCTTGAGGGTTAGGGACTGATGTGAATGTACAATATTTATGTAAAGAGCTGCATAAATAGACAGCGCTGTATAAGTACCTGTAATAAATAAATAAATCCCAGGATAGTCCTGCAGAAACTGGGACAGCTGGAGATACAGTCCAGGTATTAAAGTGGACCTTTTAGTAATGCCTGCATGAATAAATTACTGGTATGTCACCTGTTTTACTTTTAACAATTGTCACATTTTATCATTAGAAAACAGTCTTGGCGCTCCATACTGTCATTAGTCTGCTGCAAGCAGGAGGAAGCATTTCCGCTGTCTCTTCCCCCTTAGCAATCAGATTGTACATTTTAACTTTCAGCAATTCACAAGGTAAGAGGTTGCTGCAGGGGCTGATCTGTGCCCAATTTTTGTGAACAGTCAGTTCTAGTGCTTTCAACAAAAGATCAACTTGCTGTATATTTTTGTGCGGAACGCATCAAAATGCATGAAAACGCATCACAATGCACCAGCCTAATGAATACCTTGCAAACATATTTGCACACTCCTATGCTCATTTTGGAAACAATTAGCCTTTGTATATGTTGAACTGTGCAAGGCAATGAAGCTTCCCAGTTTTGGATATTTTGTCAATGGCAGTGCACATACAGTTGCAAGAAAAAGTATGTGAACCCCTTGGGATTTCGTGGAGTTTTGCATGAATTGGGCATAAAATGTGCTCTGAACGTCATCTAAGTCACAACAATAGAAGAACACAGGCTGCTGAACATAATACTACACAAACATTAGATGTTGCCATGGTTTAATTGCACATAACATGTAAACATTTACAGTGCAGGGAGGAAAAAATATGTGAGGCCCTAGCTTAATGACTTCTCCCAGAGCTAATTGGAGCCAGGAGTGAGCCAACCTTGACTCCAATCAGTGTGATGATATTGGATGTGTTGCTGACAGCTGTCCTGCCCTTAAAAAACACACACCTGTTTTGGGTGTACTGGTTTCAAGAAGCACTGTCTGATGTGAACCATGCCTCGCAGAAAAGAGCTCTCAGAAGACCTACGATCAAGAATTGTTGACTTGCAT